CCTGGACTAGAGGACAAGGGATGGAGAAGGCAATTTAGAAGAAAAAGAGAAGGGCCTGTTGCTTTTCCCAAAGCTAGAATGAGAAGACCTTTGGGGCTGTAGCAATATCACTGGAATTTCATATACAGTCATCTGGAGGTTGATACAGAGAGGCCGTTCCTTCGTGCAGATTCAAGGCTGCACCCCCACGAACAATTGTGAAAGAGAGATGTTCTAAAGAATTATGCTGGCAATTCCTCCTGCCATTCTCATCCATCTGAAAGTAGGCTGGAAGTAGGGAATGTGAACAAAAGCTAATGCTGCTTGGCACAGGTCACACATTTAATAATAATAATAATAATAATAATAATAGCAGGAAAATTGAAGAAAGAGACTGAGGGACTAATTCTGGCTGCACAAGACCAAGCCTTAAGGACAAATGCATACAAAGTCAAAATTGAGAAGACAGCAACCGACAGTAAGTGCCGCCTATGCAAAGAAGCTGAAGAAACAGTGGACCACTTGGTAAGCTGTTGCAAGAAGATTGCACAGACTGATTACAAGCAGCGGCATGACAAAGTAGCAACAATGGTGCATTGGAAGATCTGCAAAAAAATATCATTTGCCTGTAAGCAAAAACTGGTGGGATCATAAAATAGAGAAAGTCATAGAAAATGATAAAATTAAACTGCTCTGGGACTTCAGAATTCAAACAGACAAGCACCTGCAACATAACACCCCAGACTTAACAATGGTCGATACGAAAGACAAAAAAGTCTGGATAGTGGACGTGGCAGTGCCTGGAGACAGCAGAATAGAAGAGAAAGAACTGGAGAAGATAACAAAATACAAAGACCTACAAATAGAAATAGAAAGATTGTGGCAAAAGCAAGCAAGGGTAGTACCAATAGTAATAGGCTCCTTGGGTGCAATCCCAAAACAATTGGAGCACCACTTGAACACCATTGGCATTGACAAATTCGCTATTAGTCAATTGCAAAAGGCGGCCTTATTAGGAACTGCTTCCATCCTGCGACGATACCTGTAATACCATCAAACATCCACATCTGCCTATCCCAGGTCCTGGGTAAGACTCGATAGGTAGACAAAATGCCAAATCCAGTCTGAACATCTGGCTGACTGTGCGATGATCGATAATAATAATAATAATAATAATAATAATAATAATAATAATAATAATAACAATAATAATAATAATAATAAAGTTGGAAGGGACCTTGGAGTTCTTCTAGTCCAACCCCCTGCTCAGGCAGGAAACCCTATACCATTTCAGACAAATGGCTGTCCAGTCTCTTCTTAAAAGCTTCCAGTGTTGGAGCATTCACCGCTTCTGGAGGCAGGTTGTTCCACTGGTTAATTGTTCTAACTGTCAGAAAGTTTCTCCTTAGTTCTAAGTTGCTTCTCTCCTTGATTAGTTTCCATCCATTGCCTCTCGTCCTGCCTTCAGGCGCCTTGGAGAATAGCTTGACTCCCTCTTCTTTGGGGCAACCCCTGAGATACTGGAACACTGCTATCATGTACCCCCTTATCCTTCTCTTTGTTAAACTAGACATACCCAATTCCAGCAGCCGTTCCTTATATGCTTTAGCCTCCAGTCCCCTAACCATCTTTGTTGCTCTTCTCTGTTGCTAGATGTTTATTTTACTTTGCCCTTTCCAAACACAATTTTTTTTCCCCCAGGGGAGCTTTAAAACTCCAATGGAAGGGGGGGAACCTTTAACACCCCTCCCCCGTGTTCTTTATAAAATTATAAACTAAGCAAAATTATCAAAATGAAAGGGAGTCACAAGTGTTACTAACAAAAGAACAGTAGTGTTTTGGTGTCTGTCAAAGGATGTATTTTCCCTATAATACTATAGAAACTAATATATTATATTAATTATATATTATATTATATTATATTATATTATATTATATTATTATATTACATTACATTATATTATTATACTATATATTGTATTAATTATATTATATTGTATTGTATTAATTATAATATAATAGCATAACATAGTTTTTATTATATTATGTTATGTTATGTTATATTATATTATATTATATTATATTATATTATATTATATTATATTATATTATTACATTGCATTACATTGCATTACATTACATTACATTATTATATTATTATACCTGCCTGGGTCTTTTCAGAATAAGCGAGATTTTTCCTTGTTTTCTCTACGTAACCTATTTCTATCGCCCAGGACTCAGCGAAGCAAAATACAATCTCCGGCATGAATTTCACTGACCAGAATGTCCCGTAGCAGCATTTGTTTTACCCATGCTAGAAGGAGAACATGTAGTACTTCACTTATGCAACACCCTACAAGAACATCTAAATAATGACTCACCAACTCAGACATTCCATCTCAATGGAATGGTTTAGTTCTTCCGCTCGGAAGGCACAGAAGCATTGCCCAAGCAAATTCCAGTCATTAAAAGGCCTAGACTTTTTTTTTTTTTTTTTGCCATCTCCAAAACACATGGATAGGAGCCTTGAGTGTGTCACTGCTCTGATTCATTCCAAGTTGCCTGGAACATCTCAAGAGAGACCGGACTATGGTGTTGTATGCACTTTTCATTACCCTGGTGCCAAAATGGAAGTGAATCACGATACTATCGGTTTTTCTCTTCATTTATAGAGAACATGGCTGTTACACTTGCATACATTTGTCCATCTCTCTCTCTCTCTCTCACACACACACACACACACACACACACACACCTTCTTTTTTGTGACGTGGGAGAAGGGTGGAAGCCAGGAAAACATTTATCTGCTTTGTTGCCTTTTCAAAGTTGGTTAAAACTGAATTCTTCGGAGGGCGTTTGGAAAGGAGAGGGTTGGGCGCATTTAATGCTTTGCATTGTTTACATTGTATTGTAGACTTTTAAGGTTTTTTTTTTTTTCTGTTTTACCGTCATAGGCAAGGAGTCTGGTATAGTCTGGTGGCATACCAGACTAATAAAACAGTTGTTGTTTCTTCTCCTCACTCTTAAGATTAAGCCCCAACACTCAAAAGTCCCCCAAACTTAAGAGGCTCATTTCGGAGCGGGCCTCCCTGTAACTTGCAGAATTGTTAGATTATGCACAGATGTTTGATAGTTTCCAATTTTAATGAACTATACTGCTGTTTAGAACAGAGCCCCCCCCAATCTTTTGGGCACCAGGCACCAGTTCCGTGGAGAGAGGTTTTTCCATGGACTGGAGAGTGTGTGATTTTGTATGCTGCCTGCATCCCACAGATGGGGCTTTGCTTGTTTGTGCGGATGGGTTGCTGGCATGCCACGGCCCGGTACTGGTCCACAGCCTGGGGTTTGGGGACCCCTGGTTTAGAAAACACAATAAATGCTAGAAGTCAATACATGTCTTGTGATTAGATACAACCTTGTGACTTCCTCCTAACAATAATAGCTATCAATAATAGTGAAATCTGGACAACATTGGATTGTGACCTTGGTAAATCTGGTGCATTTACAACTGTATGAAAAGTGGAATTTGGAATGCTAAAAACCGCACACAGATGGTAAACGAATAAAACTAGAGGCACGAAAAGGAGCCAACAGGCACCTGCTTTTCACATTAGAAGCCAGCTAGCGATTATACAAACATTATACTTTAGATCCTGCCAGCAGGTGAATATTTGCTGTTCTCAAGGGCCTAATCTGCAGTACTATAAAAATCCTGCAGAACAGAGCAAAAATCTGTTGTCTTGGAACAACGGTGTTTTCATTTTTAAATTTTAAAAGCTCCGAGTGCTGCTACTTTTAAAGGACAAAAATAGGAATTACAATGGGGAAGGTTGATCAGCTAGGTCGATAGTGCAATGCTACAAGTTTTTGCGTAAGCAGAATCCTGACTTATAAGTAGTCTTACAACTGGTTGCTTAGCGACCCTTTGAAATTACGACATCCCCCCCCCCAAGGTGTTTATGATCTGGATACAAGCTGATAGCCTGACCCCCTTGTGCCCATATGATTGCATTTTGAACATTTAGCAAATGGCCCATTATTTTACGACTGTGTCCTGCAGTCATGTGACTGATATATATATATAATTGCTCCTAGAAGCATGAAGCCGAAAACACCAGCCTGAAGATGACGAATGAGACTTTGTCAAAACGTCGCCAAGACACTTCCAATTTGATGCAGGAGAAAACCCGAATAACCAAAGACCTACATACAAACACCTGCGAAAACCTCAGAAAACAAATATAGATAGATAGATAGATAGATAGATAGATAGATAGATAGATAGATAGATAGATAGATAGATAGATAGATAGATAGATAGATAGATAGATATAGATATAGATATATAGATATATATCCTTAATGGTTGTAAAAATGCGAATCCCGGGTATATTTGTTCAATAATGCAATCTTCGATCTCTGGGAAGAGTATAGCCTAGTTGTTTATTGTTAAAACAATATTTAAAACAATAAAAACAGTTATATACGAAGTTAAAAACAACTTAGCTTTCACTGGTCCTCTGCCAGCGTCCTCAGAGTGAGGCTCAGGGGGTGGGGAAGTTCTTTTTATCCCCTTGCCGATCATATATATATATACATATGCTGGAAACTGGTGTTTACTTGGAAACTGGTGTTTACTTCCAGTTTCCGGCAAGGAGCCCATTGCAGGCAATGGGTTCCCTTAATGACTGCTACAAAAAAAAATATGGGTCAGTCACATGGATGCTGCAACGTACAACCGTCACAATATGCAACCGAAATTCCAGGATCCATTACTGTCGTTGAGAACTACTTATAAGCCGATTAACAGCTGTACTAATTATATCTTTATCTGAACGGCATCCAGATAAAGCCTGCTATGGCTAAGAAGCAAATAAGCAAAATGTTAAGTAATGAACATCTACAGGTGAAACTCAAACAATTAGAATATCGTGCAAAAGTTCATTTATTTCAGTAATGCAACTTACCTGTATATTAACTTTAAGGTAGAAATATGACTGAAGTGGAATGCTTTTTTGTAGGTCTTTGTACAGCTGCAAAGAAATTGTATTGCGAAGAAATACAGCAGGAAGTCTCGGCTTCAGTATAGTGGGAGGTTATGAAAAAAACAGTGGAAACAAACCATTCTTTATCAAATCCATTGTTGAAGGGACTCCAGCATATAATGATGGAAGAATCAGGTAATACAAACATTGATTAAAAGCAGATTGTCTTATATCTAAGGCTGCCTTTGATCAAATTAGGCCCATGAAGGTTCTTGCTCTGTACTGTCTATGTTGATAAACCCTTTTTCCAGAATAGTTAACAAAAATGTGCCCCACTTTTATTTGTGGATTAGAGGGACTGGATCTAGGAAGTTTTGTTTTCCAAGGATCCTTCCCATAATATCTGCACCATTTCTAAGAAGGGACTGGTCTACGAACGTTGGATTCGTTGCAAAATTTGTGATCTGATTTAAAGCTACCCTATACCAGCTACTTCCTTCTTTGATTATAGAAGCAAAGTTCTCAACACAATCTAAAATGAATAAGGATCCTGCTTTTCTCCAGCACTGGAGATGGAGAATCCACCAATGGGTTTAGACTGTATTCCTGCCCAATCAGATCAAGTCAGCCAAAGTTGCCACGCCCGTCCTGGACCATAGAGATCCCAGTCTTGACTTGATCTTGCCCAGGACAGACATGCAAATTTGGCTCTTAGGCAGGTATAGTCTTCATTGGTGGATTTTCCTTTCCCCAGTAGCTTTGCTGTGCTGTAGTTAGCACAAAAATTGGGCCTAGCATTATCAAAAATTCCAGTCCTTTCCCATTCAGGAGCTTGGAAATTGTTTCCAATCTCCTGCACTGGGGAGAGGGATATTACAACTAGCTTACTTGCCCCTTCCCCCTCTCCCTCCCTTCTTAAAAATGTTCCCCTTAACACCTGATCAGGCAGGGTTTAACGGCTATTACCCTCATCCCAGCGCGGTGGGGGGGATTTTGAATTCCGTCAGAGCTTGCGACTGCAGCTCCGGTGGCCGTTTCTACGGAAGAGGTTTACAGGCCGAAGATCCTCAGGCCTCCCAGATTACCTCAGGATCGTGCGGAGCTTGTTGGGGCTGTTTTTTTTTCTTAATGCCACTTAATTTGCAAATGTTTGGTGTTCTGTACCAAACAAGGAATGGATGGAAATTGTATCTCCTACCCAAGAGAATCACTGCTAGTTCTTTACCTGGGTTACAGAAACAGGCACCAGAAATTGAACATTGATTTTAGCATTAAAGGAGTTGACATTTTATACAGAGCAATTGAATTCTTTTGCAACAGCTTGTTTTGCTAGAATCAATCCTGCTTGCTTGAGTTTTTGTTTCCTGGGAAACGTAATTGTGCTAAACCAGACAGTTGATACAACAATTGATAGTGAGGCATACGGGGAGGATTCATGCATCAGGGAGCGAAGTAGCGTCCCGCTGCCAGGAAGTGTGGGGCACGGAGGCTCAGAGGCATCGTTCATCTGGGGTGATCCCTCCCCTTGAAAGCAGGATTAGCATTCTTGTTGATAAATTAAGCTATGAGAACTGTGACATTGTCAGAAGCGTGTCGTGCGTTTTTAATATAAGCCTTACCTTACTGCTGAACAGGTGGTTCTATTTTATAACTGTGAACTGCCAAGAACCTGAAGTTGTGGCAGTGTATAAATGAAATAAATGTGTGACCTAATTTTGCATCCAGTGAGTGATAACATGTGAGTTTAAGGTTCAGGCCTATCTTCACAACCTCTTTAACTCACTTGGGCAAAGTAGGCAAAACATTCTTATGTCATCCTCCACGAGCAAAATATTATAATGGCGACAGCGCTTCCAATGATAGGAAATGAAAGGGACTGACCAACGGCTTCGGGAAAAAAAAAAAACAGTCCTCCAAAGCAGTGATTATGCATCACAAAAGGCTCAAATTTTATACCAGGCAATAAAAAGAACATCTGAAGTGATTCTTAAGTTTAACCGTTGAATCCTGATGCAAAACTGAGATGAATCAGGTTTGATACATACTCTTTGGAAAGCTCCTTAATAAATGTGAGAACTTGGGCAATTCAGAACATCAAGCATTTGCACAATAAAGAAAGTTGCAGATGGGCTAACCTAGTTTTATTTGCTCCCTTTTTCCCCTACCAGGTGTGGTGATATCCTCCTTGCAGTGAACGGCAGGAGTATCTCAGGAATGGCGCATGCTTCTTTGGCACGAATGCTAAAAGAATTGAAGGGGAAGCTTACTCTCACTATTGTATCCTGGCCTGGCACCTTTTTATAAAGATGTATTTCAATTGGAAAGAAACAAATTCCTGTGTACTGGACTTTTTTTCTTCTTCTTTTTTTTTGGTAGCAAAGTATACACTTGCATTAGAACACTCTTAAATTGCACCATAGGAGGTTTGAAAAAAACACGCTCTGTTAAAGCTATGGGAAGCTACTGGTGTGAAATCAAGGTACACAACTTATTGTAATATGTTTAATGCTTTGTTTTTTTTATATCTCCTGCTGTTTAGATATAAAGAAGGAAACAATTTTACCTAATTTGAAAGTGATTTCAGAATGAAATACTTTTCTAACGATTACGCTGACAGCCTCTGTGCAAGACACAGAAAGGCTAGCTAGCTGACGGGTATATGAAAGTCCTTTTTGTGCACCGTAAAAGCAGTTTTTTTTTAAAAAAGCACTTTTTTTTCTAATCTATCGTAATTCTGTATTTTATTTCTACTATTAAATTAATCGTAATTTGTAAAGCCAAATTAATTTAATTAAAAAAGGACGAAAATACGCATTGTACACGAAACTTTCAAATTCATGAAATCAACCGTTTCATTTGAGTGTTCTGTTTTACTCCGTTTTTATCCTTCCATTCTGCGTTGGGCTCTTCTAAACCAGCATCCTAATGGTGAAGGTAAGGAGCCGTAGAAGCAAAAAATAAAGCCAGAAACTGCCTGGTTTTATCTATATTGAACTAACCACAAAAAGGCCAGTATGATCAAGTATATAGGAGACATCACACCAGCATACTATTGACACATTATGGATTTCCAGCCAAGATATGCTAACTTTTTATTTAAAAGATACAGGTTTACTTATCTAAAGGACTAAACGAAACACTGGTTCATCCTTCAGAAAACAGTCTATTGCAGAGTTCCCCAACCTTTTAAGCACCAGGGACCGGTTCCGTGGAGAAAGGTTTTTCTGTGGACCAGAGACTGTGTGGTTTTGTGTGCTGCCTGCATCCCACGGATGGGCTTTGCTGGTTTGTGCGGGCCGGTTGCTGGCATGCCGCAGCTCGGTACTGGTCCATGGCCCGAGGGTTGGGGACCCCAGGCCTATTGAGTGCCCAGAAGAACAGCCTTGTGTGAAATATTTATTTGAATACGAGAAGCCTTTGTATTAATTCTACATTTTCCACTTTATCTTAGATTAAATGCAAGGAATCTCAGTAACCAAACACCACTTTTGGTAACGTCTTCACTGTTCCAACGGCATAAAGACCAAAACGACCTGCTTTTAACATGAAAAAATTCACTCTTTATTTTCAAAAACCCAAATTAAAAGTATGCTTTTCTACTAACAGAACAAGATTAAGAGCAACATCTTAAGACCCAGAAAAATAATTAGATTTAGAGCAATCTATTTCTGGCGTTAATATAAGCAAGTAGGCAAAACTACCACAGGCCTACTCCGCAGGGGCAGCTTCCGTGTTTTCCTGTTCAGAGGCGGGTTCACCGCTACCCATTTCTTTTCCTTCTTTGCTCTTTTTTGATTTTTTATGTTTATGCCTCCTGTGGCTCTCTCCCTCTTCACTATCATGGCGACGCCTGCTGTTACTAAGGAGAGAAAGAGGGGAGAAACAGGAACACAGATTTAATGGAGTCTCAGACTGCTTCTCAAGCTCTTCATGTTATAAAACTAATTATTTTAGTCCAGGGGTTAGGCAACCTTGGCTCTTTTATGACTCGTGGACTTCAACTCCCAGAATTCCAAGTCCACGAGTCATAAAAGAGCCAAGGTTGCCTACCCCCCCCCCCCGATTTAGTTTATGCAATGATGTCATTAAGCCTCCCTCACCATCAAATCAAAACCAGAAAGGGACTGAATGAAAAAGTCTGATATTAAGCTTCTCTGGGATTTTCATCTGCCACTGTTTATTTGGAGCAGAAACTGGCAACATCCTTTGACACCAGTAAACTACGCTCAGAATTAAACACATGTCTGCAATGAAGAAGCCAGGATTTTCTACCAATGTCACAATTTTCACAGGATTTCCATTCGCAAAGATAGACCTAAAAGTGTTTCACGGTCATGTTCTTGAGAAATTCTTGGGATTTTTTTTATTTTTCATTTTTCACTCTAAATCAGTGGTTCTCAACCTGTGGGTCGGGACCCCATTTGGGGTCGAACGACCATTTCACGGGGGTCGCCAAACAACGCAGTCCGCCATTTTTTCCCCCTTTTCCTTAGCTGTGCTACTCCCTTTTATTCTATTGGCTTTTGAAAGCCAATAGAATAGACTCTCTTGAATAGAGTCTAATTCTATTGGCTTTCAAAAGCCAATAGGAATTGTCCAGGCTGTCTCTGCCCTGCTGAGCCCGCCAAAAGTCCCATTCTGCAAACGGTGCTGCACCCGTTGAGTAGTTCTCGACTTATGACCGGTTGAGTAGTCTTCGACTTACGACCGGTTGGGGGGTCGCGGCATTAAAAAGATTGAGAACCACTGCTCTGTTTACAGAGTCAGCCTGTTGCCCCCAGCAATCTGGGTCCTCGTTTTACTGACCTCGGAAGGAGGGACCGCCGAGTCAACCTTGAGCCGCTGGGAATCGAACTCCTGAAGTGAGCAATGAGCTAGCCTATGATACTGCATTCTAACCCCTGCACCGCCATGGCCAATAGAATAGCCAATATTTTTTATTTTAGGCACCACCCATAAAAAAAAACACGATTTGATAAGCTTGGCTCAGCAACTGACCTCCGTGAAGATTTGTGTCTCGTCTCTTCTTTCTCTCGGTGTCTCCGTTCTCGGTGCCGCTCTTCTTTCTCGCGACTTGTCCTGTGTCGTTCATAGCCCCTCTCTGCATATTCTCTGTATCTGTATCTCTGTTCTTCATCGCTGAGAAGAGAAAAAAAAAAACATTCCTCGAGTGCACATCAAACTACAGTTAGCAACTCTTGGCTTCTCCCGTGTGCACCTAAAGCGCAGAGATTATTGTTGGGAATCTGTTGTCTGCTTTCTATCTTCCGCAAAGAATCACACTGAAAGGCTGATTCAGGCAGGAACGTGCAACGTACGGAAACAACGTTGAGGTATCAGAAACAGCTGGCACTACACCTTTTACTGACATGCACAAAATGTTTGGGTGTTTTGGCCTTCAGCAGGAAGAGTGAAAGAAAAGCCTCCTGGCTTTTTCAAGACATGGCACTCTCCCCAAATTATAACTGGGGCAGACACCACAAAGTGAGCTTTGGGCTTGTCTGGGTTCAAAAGTTAAGGAGAAACAGTTGGATGAAAGGATGGATGATAGATAGATAGATAGATAGATAGATAGATAGATAGATAGATAGATAGATAGATAGACAGACAGAGAGAGAGATAGACAGAGATAGATAGATAGATAGATAGATAGATAGATAGATAGATAGATAGATAGATAGATAGATAGATAGATAGATAGGCAGGCAGGCAGGCAGGCAGGCAGGCAGGCAGGCAGGCAGGCAGGCAGACAAAAATCCCAAATTGCAGGTTATTCTAGATAGCTGGGAAAAAGTAGACCACAATACAGCTGTTAGACCCGCCAGGCACTTAAACCTCTAAACAGAAACGATCCTTGGCTCCATTTGTCGGGAATGGTATATTTTTATTAGAAGTCAGATGTATTGCAGTAATGCATAACACAGAACTGAGAATCGGCTGTCAAAACCCCTAAGTCCAACTTTTCCCTTCCTTAACTATCACTGACACACACACCCCTTGACCAATCAGGTTCCAGCAAGAGGTTTTCCGAAGGGCCACTTCAAGCCCAGGCTGGTATGCAGCTGCATCCTTTTCCCAGCTGGGTGACCTTGAAGCAGCGTCTTGGGGAAATACAGCCGTTACTTTCAATTTCCCCCAAGCATCCCACCCCTCCCATCCACCCTCCCCAGAGTTCATGGCAGACTGTCACCGCCTGGTTACGAAGCCCACAAGCAAGCATAAGGTGGCAGTTGACACTGACCGCTTCAGTAGCCCTCCCAATAAAATCACACCATGGCTCCACAAAGTTTCCCCAGGTGAACTTGACCTTTTACCAGAGCATAGTCCAGTGGTGGCGAACCTATGGCATGGGTGCCAGAGGTGGCACTCAGAGCCCTCTCTCTGGGCACAAGTGCCGTTGCCCCAGCCTTGCCTCCCCCTGTGACCCCCTCACCAGCAGCCCCCCCCAGAGGAGAGTTGCCCCCTAGCGTGGCCCATGCAGAGCAGCGGAGCCAAGAACATGGCAGCCAAGCAACATAGAGAAGACTCTGCCCTCACGTCCCATCGTGCACAGTTGATGTTGCAGGGCGCAGGCAGGGGGCGTGACCGCCATAGCGCTGCTGGGCTGCCTGGGCGATCTGCGGTGGGCCCTGGAGGCAGTGAGTGGCCCTGCGGATGGGTGGGGTGGGGCGGGGTGGGCCAGGGGGTGAAGTGGGGGCGAGGCCAGTTTTGGGGCACTTGGTCTCTAAAAGGTTCGCTGGCATAGTCAATACCTGCTTACGGTGCATGTCACTCACAGAGGTACAAAATTATATTGTTTTTTTTAATCTTAGACCCAATTTCATTAAGGCACTGAAAAATTGTTAAAAAGACTCATAGTTTTTGTTCCAGGATATCATACCTGAACGATCTGTGACTCTCAAGCTTCCCATGTTCTCTTATTATTCCATGATAATAATAAATGATGATTTTACTAAACTAAGCGCGCTCTGGCTCTTCACACTTGTCTTAGGACAGCAGTTTTGCTACAGATGTCAGATAATTTAGTCGGATTAAAAAAAAAAAAGGAAGAAAAATGTTCTTCTCCTTCCTTTTTGGTGAAGTCTGCAAGCAACACAGAACGTTCCCCAGGCCTGGAAGTCATTAAGAATCATTTCGGCACCCTTGAATGACCAGCTCGTTTTGTGCTCTCAATCAAGGTGCCCAAGAAACAGATGTTAAATTGATCTTAATGCCTAAGACACTGACCCTGTAATTTGTAACACAAAACATAACAAGTGGAGAACATTAGCACTAAGCCTCGGTAAAAACAAACATTATGGTAATATATTTTAAACCCAACGCTTACTGCATGTAGCACTTTTTGAAGCTGAAAAGAAAGAATTATTTAAAAATAGCACAAATCTCTTTACAAATGGGTAAAAAAAAATAGGTCTCAGTAGGAGTATTTGGAAGAGGTGATTCCACCCCTTTCTCTGACTTAATAAAATTCACCATCTTCGTTGTGAGTCTTTTGTATGTAGTATTTGTTTTTGCACTTCTGGTTTGAATTTGAAGGAGCTGGCTAAAGAAAAACAAAAGCCAATCCGTGTCCCCTAAGAATATACAGCTGCATGTGATATTTTGAAATACATTTTTTAAAGCAGGCCCTGAACTCTTACCGCAAAAACCTTGGATTTAGTCCCGATACCCACCTATTGAACACGCTTGCAGTTGGACTGTGATCCCGCTCACGCTCCCTATCTCGGGGCCGTTCACGCTCCCGTTCACGATCTCGATCCCGTTCTCGGTCTCGATCTCTTTCACGCTCTCTGTCTTTATCTCTTCTGGAATAATAATCCCACTGTTTGCTTGTGTCCATGAGACTAGTCCAGGATGGGGTAGAACCTGTAAGGTGCGGAAAGGTGACTAAAGAAAAAAATTCCAGTATTAGAAAACAAAAAAGTCTGGAACATTTGAAAAGCGTAAAATGAATCGCACTGGGATTATTCCCTATTTATAAAAGGGAAGCCTGGGACGTAAAGTTAACTGTAAAACCCGCCTTGAGTGGTGGATTGAATAAAGCTTATAAATTAATTGCCCAGTTGTGAATTCTACATCCAGCAGCTATTTCAAAAGGATTGCCAATTTGAATATTTCTTTCCTTATTCTATGGCATTATATTTAAAAGTCATGTTTGTGTTCTTTTGTAATTGTAAGCTGTGCTTGTTTACTTTCTTTTCAATTGTTTTTCTGCACTTTGAAAGGATAAAAGCCCAGATAGCTGCAAAATGTTCCAAGTTTGGCAGGTGTGTTTAAAATGTTCTGAACACTTTCTATTCTGGAGTTTCGACTTAAGCCCGGGATAAAATGGGAGGGGAGGGGGCTTATTTCATCTTGTTTTGAGTATTCTGACATCTGTAAATTAGCATTTGTTGGTTAGGCAGGAAGATCCAGAGAATACCATAGCTCGTAAATCACCAGCATTACTGGGACTGACTGAGGGGAGACGGTGGCAAGGAGGAGGAAGATTCAAATTAGGAACACATTTAAAGAGACAGCCATTTTGAAAATAAGGCAATTGTTGCCTGCCTGGAAAGCAAATTTACTATTTTTTTTTTTTTAAAGATGGCATCGAGTAGTTGTAATTTGCAGGTTGCAATGTAATAGCCCTGTCACTGGGTTCTCTTAAGTGAGGAGCGCAGCCTACTCCAACCACTAAATATAATAGCAAGAGTGCATTTCAAGCAAATCTGAAGCCAAGAATTCAAAGGGTGTTAGTTTTATAGTTGCTTGCGGCCTGTTTTGACGGGAAGCTATTGCTGCTCTTTCGTGACTGAACACAGCTTTGAGGCAGACAGTACAGAGGCATCAAAAAGGATGTTCATCTGTTTCTTCCATTATTGAAAAACCTTCATTTTTTTTTAAATGAAAATATTCCTTGACAATTTTTAATGAAGTAACAGCGGCACTCAACACAAATGATCATATCGCCTTTTTTGTGTTGTTTTAGGACAAAAACAAAACAAAACGGATACTTATTCTGATTTTTCCCTTTGCCCTAGAGAAGAAACTTGATTTGTTTGTTTTTTGGTTTCTCCTGCCAGAATAGACTTTGTTCAAAATTTTCAAAGTTCTTTTGCTCTCAGCTTGGGATAAAACAGTTTTTCATTCAGTACTCACCCAAACCAATTTACTAGGCACTGAGCACTTAAAACCAAACCAACACACTAATAAAGAGAAGTTCCTAGTCTCTAGGTCCTGAAAATGCATAAATATGTGGAAAAAAGTTACTTCAAACATCACATTTGTTCATTTTGGCCTTATAGAGATAGTCCTCGATTTACAACTGTTCATTTAGCGATAGTTCGAAGTGATGATGGAAAAAGTGACTTACAACCCGTCCCCCCATGGTCACGTTATCCTGGTGCTTGCCACGTGGTTTGCATGTATGATGGCTGCAATGTCTTGCTGTCATGTGATCACAGTTTGTGACATTCCCAGCTGGCTTTCAAACAAGCCAAAATTCAGGAATCCAGATTCACTTAATGACCACATGATTCATACAATGACTATCCTAAAATGGTTATAAAATTGGTCTGGTCATATGATGTGTCGTTTTACGACCACACTGATTTATGACAGAAATTCTTGTCCCAATTGTTGGTTATAAATTGAAGACAAAATAATTCCTATTATCGGGAGTTTGTGGTGAAAACATCCATTCCTGAAAATGACAAAATGTATCTAAAGAAGGATACAGACATTCTTTCTATGTGCTCAGGGGGATTTCTGGATGCTGCCTGATGCTCTAAACCAGTGTTTCTCAACCTTGACAATTTTAAGGCATGTGGACTTCAAATTATTCTCAAATAATCGACTGAAATTATACCAAATACTAAACCATTGTTTACAGCATCGTATTTATTCGGAAGCAAATCCCAGTTTTACCATCTAAAATGGAAATCAATAAACCTTACTTCCAAAAGGCCTGATTCTGAGGTATCCAGAATTTGTATATAATAAAGGCATTTGTTTTTTTTTTTTTTTTTACTATTTCATTTTAGCAGTCACGCTCGTAAAAAGGCACACGATAATCACCTTGAACAATGTGTTTAGGACAAAACCATTAATTAAAAGGGACTGAATTTTCTCACAAGATACCTCCCTAGCAGTAGAAAGTGAGTAGGATGGGTAGGACAAGAACAGCCACTTATTTCTCCTTTTTGAAGGAGGGGGATTTCAACAACAGGAATTGTTAATCCTTCTTTGATTAGAAGCATAAATTTCCATTATTACCAAACATGGTGGCACCAATACAGTTTCTATACCAGGAATGTGGGGAGATTCACAAACACTATACTTAGAATAAAATTGCAATGTCCTAGAATAGGGGTAGGCAACCTTGGCTCTTTGATGACTCGTGGACTTCAATTCCCAGAATTCCTGAGCCAGCCATGCTGAGGGGAAAAGGAGAGGTTTCCAACCTGAGCCATGCTGGCTAAGGAATTCTGGGAGTTGAAGTCCTCGAGTCATAAAAGAGCCAAGGTTGCCTACCTCTGGCCTAGGCCGCTTTATGACTCGTAGACTTCAACTCCCAGAATTCCTGAGCCAGCATGGCTCAGCTTGGAAACCTCTCCCTGTCCCCTCAGCATGGCTGGCTCAGGAATTCTGGGAATTGAAGTCCACGAGTCATCAAAGAGCCAAGGTGGCCTACCCCAGCCCTAGAAGAACTGTGTTCAATTAAAAAAAATAATTAAATAATTAATAATTAATTAATTAAAAAGGGGGGAATCTATATTAGAGCTTTGAATGGGAATAACAGTCAACTTGAAACCTGTTACGAAAAGGCATCAAGCGATTTCCCTGTAACAACAAAACTTAAAAAAAAAAAAATACACAGGATGTATAAAAAGAAGAATGCCAAGAACACTCTTCTTTTTTTTTTTTTACCTCAGCCTTACCACTATTAACCACAAGAGGGAAAAATATTGGGTTTAAACAGGAGAATAAAAGTGTTTTTCAAGAGGCGTTCAAGGAGAGATAACTTTGTGTTACTCAAGAATATTCTCAGCTTCTTCTATTATTCAAAAGGCATTACAGAACATGGGGCTGGGAGGGACCTTGGAGGTCCCGTAGTCCAGCCCCGTGCTCAAGGTAGGAAGCCTTAACCCAGTGTTTCTCAACCTTGACAATTTTAAGGCATGTGGACTTCAACTCCCAGAATTCCACAGCCAGCAATGCTGGCTGTGGAATTCTGGGAGTTGAAGTCCACATGCCTTAAAATTGTCAAGGTTGAGAAACACTGCCTTAACCCATCCCAGAAAAATGGTTGTTTGTTAATCTTCAGCAATGGAGCACCCATAATTCTGGAAGGCAAGCTGTTCCAGTGATTTACTGTCCTCACTGTCAGAAAATTTCTCCTTACACCTAAGTTGGATCTCCCTTTAACAAACTTCCATCCATTGCTTCTTGTCCTGCCCTCAGGTGCTTTGGAGAACAGGTTGACCTCTCTTCTCAAGTACTGGAAGACAATTATTATACCTGCCCCAATCCTTCTCTTCTCTAGCCTAGACATGCTTAGAACTCTAAGCATCTATCTGTAAAATATGAGTACAGATCTTTGTACTAAATGGCGCTGAGTCAGACTGCTCAAGGTAACATTTCTGAATTCTTCCGACAACAATCCAAAAGCAAAATGGAATAGCAAAATAAAATTTTTACAATGTGGATATGCTCATGAGTCTTCAGATATGCAAATCCTGCATGTCTTCTTGCGCTGTGAGGATACTGGTTCTATTTTGTTTTGCTTTTCCATGTTAACGGCCATCGTTTATTGAAAAATAGAAAACCCAAAGCCCAGAGGCAAGATGTGCCCCCAATCTCCTGGCCTTTTGGAAATATCTGAATATTTAAAGACCGGGCTCTGCCATCTGACTTGAAGTTCACAGAGGAACAGGCATCCCTGGGACTGATTTAGTGACCTGAATTCTCTCCCCTGCCTTTTAATTACCTTTTAATATTGAAATGTAGTATCATTGCTTCCGTTTTAATTTTTTTACATTCACTTTTTGCTTTTAACATGTTATCTGTACATCGCCCGCAGTCCTTCTGTGAAGGAGATGGGCAGCTTTTAAATTTGATAAATAATAATTTCAGAAAAAGATATTTGCAATTAACTGTTATATATAGCATGCTACAAATATACAGGTAGTCCTCAACTTATAACCATTGGTGTTAACAATGATCCAGAATTATGACAGCCTCAGGAAGGGTACTTTGCAACCTGCTGCACAACACTTCGGCTTGTCTCAAAACGTTGCATCCTCACCCCAGCAGTTATGTGATTGTGATCTGGGTGCTTGGCAACCTGTTTCCATCTATGACCAGCTGTCAAGCACTCCACAAACTTATTATCACCATTTGCTACCTTCTTGGCCAGCTTAATCAGAAAGTCAAGATTGAACGACCTAAATGCGTAATGACCACAACTAGGAAGCGCCAGGATTACGGTTGTTGAGAAAAGCAGTCACGTGGCATCTTACTTAACTACCACTTTGCTCAACAACTGAGATTCAGTACTAAGGATGGATGTAAGTCAAGGACTACCTGTATTTTCAGATAACTGACTCTCCCCACGACCCCCTTCACAATATGGCCGGAGACTGGTGCCTGCTAATGGATGCTTGACAAATGAAAGATGCCACACGTAATAAGACAAACTTAGGAAACCCAATAATATATTAGATTGTTAGTGTTCCTGTAGACAATAAGAAATTTTAAATATGAAAATACAACAAGCCAAGTGACATTTTCAAGCAGTGAACTAAAGTCACTTACCACCACCATATGGAAATGCACGAGCAGAGCGGCTATCATAACCAGAGGAATGTCCACTGTTGGGAAATAAATATAAATCAACCCCTCTTTCATATTTAAGTTTCTGTTCAAATTAACCAATTTCTATTGCATTAAAGGTCCAGTTGCTAACTATTCATTTGTTTGCAAGCCTAAAAAATGATTAATCTTCCACATGCTGTATTAAATCAGTATGGGTTGCCACTGTCAATTGGGTGACAGTGCTCTGAACATACTATGCCTTCAGCTCTGAGGAATAAATTAAGGCAACTAGCTACCTGATCCATCTTTGCATGTATAAAGAAGTTTATCAATATCTTCTATGCTCCCTGTGATTTTATCTTCATAAAAGGGGTGAGGGTCGGAAGCAAGTCTGTTTGGGTCCTTCGTGCCCAGCCTTGTTGTTATTTTTGCACCTCTCTACACACTCTGCAACAGAAAGCCTTACGAAACTACATGTTAAGGCAAGCAACAGACCCAATTCTCTGCTTTCTGTTCCTACTATAACATGGATGTATTCATCTTTGACCTATCAGCCCAATATGCCTACAAATAGTGCTGTCCTGCTTCGTTCATATCCTGTCTTTCCATCTTACAGGTCACACTGAGGCAGCCAACTATATTAGGAAGGCATCACCGAACAAAATGGCTATCTCCACGGAAGAGAACATGGGAAAAACAGTTCTTCCATTAGAAAAGACATTGAATCTTGCCCCTGATATCGTTCAGCCAGTTGGTGAGGTGAAACAGATCTGGCTCTATGGCCAAATCCAATCCTCCCGCTGCTAAAACAGAGAAAAGCTTTGATCACAATTAATACATGTAGTTTGGGTTAAACCAGGGGTAGGCAATTTTGGCTCTTTTATGACTAGTGGACTTCAACTCCCAGAATTCCTGAGCCAGCTTGGCTGGCTCAGGAAATCTGGGAGTTGAAGTCCACATCTCATAAAAGAGCTAAGGTTGCCTACCTCTGGGTTAAACCTTTACCCTCACTGGTTGTTTTTATTTATTCATTTATTCTAGGAGGTATTTACCATTAAATTGTATTAAATCATAAATTATATTAAACCAGAAAATTAGTCATTAATCTTGGGTGCTTGGCAGCTGGCCCACATTTACAGCTGTTTGGGGTCCTAGGACTACAATTTACGACATTTTACAGCTGTTTGGAGTCCTGGGACCCCAAACAGCTGTAAATCTGGCATTTATGCCTGGTTTCCAGCAAAAAGCTCTCCACGGTGTTTCTAGCTATGGGTTCACTTTATGACCACTACGTCTGCTTAATGACTACCACAAGAAAGTTCATAAAACCGATGGGGTCACATGGTAACTTGATTTATGACTGCCATGTCTTACGACTGAAATTGTGGACTCAATTACAGTTGTAGGTCAAGGACTAGCTGTACTTAGGGGGGGGGGGTGTCAAGGTTTCTACCAGATAGAATCCAGAGACCTTCCAGAAGAACAACACTAAAAAAGCAAAACATCTAGTGCCCAGGTTACATTTCCCTGAATCAGAAATTTACAACGATTAAAAAACATATTATATGCTCGAAGCACGAAGCTGAAAACACCAGCCTGAAGATGACGAATGGGACTTCGTCGAAACGTCGCCAAGACACTTCCAATTTTACGCGGGAGAAAACCCGAACAACCAAAGACCTACATACAAACACCCGCGAAAACCTCAGAATATATATATATATATAGGCAGATTATTGCTATTTTGTCTAGTCCTGTCCCAGGCTTTTTAATTTTTTTTAAATATGCTTTATTAATTTTTTAACATAATCACCTTAATATTCGGTAAACAGTGCATTGTCTGGGTTTACGTTTAAAAAACATTCATTAACAGTTAATTTCTATAATCTGTAATCCACATGTTAACTATATTTGATTTCCTCTTTTCCCCATAATGTTCTCTTTTACCAACCTTAAGTTAATACAATTCTTGTTGTTTTAATGAGTGATAATTAAGTATAAAAGTTTTCTAACGTTTCTACAAGTAATAATTGCATAATATTCCTTTTCTATCTAGTCATTCTGGGTCCGAGCTTTTTTAACTAATAAGAAGGAAACCAAATGCATAAGAGTTGCTCAACTAATATCTAATTTCAGACTTCAAATCTTATTTGCTGTCCCCAATAGTTTTATCTGTACTGTCCATATCCCCGTATCTCTACAACTTTTCCAAGTAACCCTGATCTTCGTTCTACCTACGCCAGTGGTTCTCAACCTGGGGGTCGGGACCCCATTTGGGGTCGAACGACCATTTCGTGGGGGTCGCCAAACAAGGCTGTCTGCCATTTTTTCCCCCCTTTTCTTTGGCCACGCCCCTGGCACCTGGTGATGTATAAGTGGTTGGGGGTCACCACAACATGGGGAACTGTATTATGGGGTCGCGGCATTAGAAAGGTTGAGAACCACTGACCTACCCTAAAGTGGCTGCGGAAAACCACAAACTTATAAAGCAGGCTTCCATTCAGTTCCAGGGAATCCAAACGGTAAAAAAAAAATATATATTAAACGGTATTTTTATTCAAATTCACATCATAGCAATTATTAAAATAAACAAAGTCCTTTTGACGTCAGATTACAAACTAAAATTTACCTTTCTATAGTTGGTATAAGGGAAGGTGGTGGTCCTCCAGGTGGGGGAGGAAAGCCTGAAATATTTAATTAAAAGGTTGGTTTACATTGAAAACGAATTCAAAATTAGCTTAGTGCAATTAGTCGTGTCCCAGCAATAAACCAACGCAGCAACTTTTAGTAAAACTTTGTAGCAAACAAAATGATAGAATAATGCCAAAATAAAACAGTCTGCTTAGTTTATTATTATTTTATTGTAATTCTGTACACTTAAATATATTCTAAGGTTCTTCTTCTAATTCTTCAACTACTTTTGAGCAAGCTGGTAACTCAAATCAGTATTAATGAGATCCTCCAAAGAAAGCTGAGTGCATTTTTTTAAAAAGTGGGATATACTCAGATGGTCCCTATACCCAAAAGGAATTCACAGTTAAGTTTCATGCTATTTTTAAAATAAATAAATATACCTGGCGGTGGCACAGTTATTGGTATACCTAAAACAAAAAAGATGCACCCAATCATTTCAGCAATGAGTTTATATTGTCTCATTCCCATATTGCGGTTCCCATATTGGCACTATGGCATCCGTGCCAACAACATATTATTAAAGAACCAATAGGAATTGGCGGTGACTTAATTCCTATCACCAATCCGTATTGATTTCATTCCAGAAACGTTCTCTGTGTGAATCTAACACAAACAGCCGAACCCAGTCATTTGTGGCCATGTCCATGCAAATAAATGAACAAATTAAAAAAAAAAAAATTCTACCACATGCACCCACGATAAAATATCTGCCCAACAAATGTGCTGGCACTGTTTCCACATTAATGACTTTAAATCTGTTGAGCAAGAGTAGATGATGACAATATTTAAATAACGAAGACACAATACAATTAGAGTGTTCTGATTACATTTCAAAAACCTTTCAATATATATGTAGCGTTAAACTCCAGGGACCATACCATCTGGACAGGAAATTATGTTACTCATAATAAACATGTTATAAAAAGGCAACTCTAAAAATATTAATTTAAAAATAACATCTTAATCGTTCTTTTCTTTGTAAGAATACACAAGCACGTTTCAATGGAAAAAAAAAAACCCACCTGTGCCTTTATATCCTCAATGTTAATAGACAAGACAGCAAGTTCAAAATGTAAAATGACAGGTTAATGTTAGCTGGGCCATACGGTTCTCATTAAAAGAGCTTAAAAAAAAAAGAGAATAATCCTCCTAGTGACACATCATACCAATCAGGGCTGTTTGATAAAACTAACTCTAGCAATGATGAAATGCCTGATCCCTGACTATTTATTTGGAGAGAACGGGAATTAAGACCAGTAGAACACATTCATATTATAAAATGTCGTAGGAACAAGTACATAACATAGTTAATTCTGTTGATTCAATGGTTTTGTCCACTTTGTTCATAAATCCTAAAAAAACTCAGTTGTTTCTTTATACCATTCAGTACTATTCTCAGTAATAGTTAGTCAGCTTTTTAGGTTTATATATTTTTAAACAATAGAAATTCTTTCGGTCTCCAAAGATATTTGCATCACAAATAGCTACCGTATTTTCCAGCGTATAAGACGACTTTCTAAACCATGCAAATCTTCTCCGAAGTTGGGGGTCGTCTTATACGCCGAGTCGTCTTATACGCCGGAAAATACCGTATTTTCCGTCGTATAAGATGACTTTTTAACCATGCAAATCTTCTCCGAAGTCGGGGGTCGTCTTATACAATGAGTCGTCTTATATGCCGGAAAATACGGTAACTGAACACAGAATCAGAGCTTCAAAGAAAAAAAAAATCCCTTTTCAAAGGATCATCATAAGGATGTTTTATATTGGAATGTATGAAAACTTTCCAGGCAGAGGTTCCAGTTAATAATGGCTGAGAAGAAACTTCTCTATCCCACTAGAGGAGGAATGGGCAGATTTTAATTTTGGTTTGCTCTTTGAAGATGAAATGCTGCAAACCTGAAAGAGCCAATGCTACAATACTCCCCCCAATTGTTTCCAAATGTATGAAACTACAAGTGATTTTAAAAAAAAGGAAACTCTCAAGGCAGGCTCATGTGATAAACCTGCACCTCCTGCTTCCACGATGTGCTGGACTGATGAACTGACTGCACGTGCAGATGTGACCGAGCGAACGTCAATAAAAATCTGACTTCGTGCCTCCCCAAAAACTTTAGAATAGTGTTTTGTTTTTTCTCATTCCTCACTTTTGTCTCAGGTTTCATCGACCCGTTACAAGTACAGATATACAGGTAGTCCTCAACTTACGACCACAGTGGAGCCCAAAATTTCCGTGGCTAAGTAAAACATTTGTCAAGTGAATTTTGCCCCATTTTATGATTTTTTTCTTGCCAAAGTTGTTTTAAGTCAGTGGTGGCGAACCTATGGCACACGTGCCAGAGGCGGCACTGAGAGCCCTCTCTGTGGGCACCCATGCCTTTGCCCCAGCCCCGCCTCCCCCCGCAGCCCTCTCCTCACCAGCATCCCCCCCCCAGAGGAGAGTCACCCCCGAGTGCGGCCTGTGCAGAGCAGCACAGCCAAGGACATGGCAGCTGGGCAGCGGGGACAAGACTCCGCCATCACGCCCCATTGCACGCAGTTGATGCTGCGAGGCGTGGGCGGACTGGGGGCTGCCATGGCGCTGCTGGGCCGCCTGGGTGATCTGCGGCAGGCCGTGGGGGCAGTGGGTGGCCCTGTGGACAGGCGGGGTGCAGGGATGGAGAGGGGGGAGGGTGGGGGGCGGGGCGCGGGCAGGCCCGGGTTTTCGGCATTCAGTCTCTATAAGGTTCGCCACCACTGTTTTAAGTGTATCACTGTAGTTATTAAGTTAGAACCTGGTTATTAAGTGAATCTGGCTTCCCCACTGACTTTGCTTGTCAGAAGTTTACAAAAAGGGATCACATGACTCTGGGGTACGGCAACCGTGGTAAATATGAGTCAGTTGCCCAGCATCTGAATTTTGATCATGTGACCACGGGGATGCTGCAATGGTTATACGTATGAAAAACGGTCGTCAGTGGCACTGAAACTTTGAATGGTCACTAAATGAACTGTTGTTAAGTTGAGGACTAGTTGTAGTTATGCTGAAATCCACGCCACCCCATCAAATCATGGTTGTTGTTCAAATTCAAAAGATTCCAGTCTAATTATGTGACAGGCTTGTTATCTGGTCAATTATATTGCTAGAAAACAATTGCTATGATCTAAAATAGAAAAGCTACACAATATGTGAAATTAATTTAGTGAAATTCATTTCCAAGCGCAGATGCTCAGGATTCTACTTCAGAACAATATAGTAGTTTTGCTCCTTCCCATTTTTTTGTACAGCCTAAATATATTTAAGCACAGAGTGACAAAGGCTATGAATGTGTCAGGAAAAGAGAAAGTTTCCTACTGTTTTGACAAAAATAGATATAGGTAATATTTTAATCCGCATTTTGGGGAAAGAAGCATGCAACCATGAGAGGGAAGGAAGAGTACACAGGCAAGAGAAGAAATATTGAACCATCTCAAAGCTATTCTTAGATGCATTAGTGTAATCTTACGTTCAATTAAGCAGATTTCCTTGTAATTAATTTTGTAATCCAACCTTAGTTTGACCCTAACTACAGGTGAAAACGTTCCATGTAAATGTTCGTTTTATGAATTCTAAAAGTTATTTACTTCCAAAACCTAACATGCAGCAGTTTATATAATTGTTTGTCACGTTATTTTATTTTAAATGAAATAATTATGAATTTTATTTTTTTCTTTATCCGTCAGCTCTCAGTAAACTACACTCAACTATGATACGTTACTGTTGCAGCTGTGGTGTGAACTATAAGGAAAGTATACTATATTTCATTAAGTGTACCTTTCAATATGCCGTCTCTGTTAACTAAATCACCAATATTGATCTGGAGAGCTATGCTTTCATTGCTCTTGCCAAATCAAACAGGCCGGATGATCAAAGGAAAGTGGCTGAGTAGTGCTTCCTTATTTAAAGAACATTCTCCCTAGAGGGCTTATCTCCTGACACCTACATTATGATCCTTCTGGATCCAAGTGAGCATCTTAATTTTCTGGGCACATTCCACCCAATTTTTTATTACTAATTTGTCAGTTGCTTACTGCAAATTCAAATGCTCTGTTTTATGGCTGTTGTTTCTATTGATTATGATCTATTATGCTGCTGTTTCTGTTTTACATTCCATATAATTTGGATAGTGAGAAAATAACAATTGTTGGATTGTCTAAAACTGAAGCAAATTACTAATAAAATGCGCTCTGCAAACACCTTCAGCATGATACCTAACGAGGGCTAAGGTGATTTAAATTAGCCAACAATTTATGCTGTCCCATTTTAAATGTTAAGGTGGTGATCAGAAGACAGCTAGTCCAATAACATCATTTGTACTTTATGTTAGTTCCAATTCCCCGTGAAGCAAATTACCGCTGAATGAAATCCTCCAAAGAGCAGGAACCATTTACTTAGAAGGGACAGCACAGAAATAATTATAATCTTTCAGGAAAAGAGGAGAAATGTGAAAAGTACTTTGGACACGGGAACACCCTCTTCAAGAGAAACAATTCTTAGAAGCCACGCAGAATCTTAACAGTTCCAAATAAACTGAATTTTGCTAGAACGTGTCTAATTCTAAACATATACAACACTGTGGTTTCAGGTACAGATGAGGAGCACATACTGTGACTGAAAACACTGTCCTTTCCCCCCCCCTTTTCTTTTTACCTGGAGGAGGAATTAGAGGAGGAGCAGTACTAACGGATGGAGGCGGTGGAAGGAATGGAGGTGGAGGAAGATGGGTGGGTGGAGCTCCTGGAGGGAAAAACGGAGGCGGCTTGGAAAAATTGTTGTCTACATCACTGCTGGAGCGTTCAGACAGAACCTATAAATAAAACCAATGTTATACTTGCCTTTGGACAAAAAAGGAGCAGAAAATATACTTTCCTCCTCTTAGGGGCCTTCTACATCTAACTAGCATTTGCATTTGTCCATTTCTATTCTATGGCATGTGCCACCAATCAGTGTTCTATATTGCATAAAGAAGCCCCTACATCAGGGGTCTTCAAACTTGGCAACTTTAAGACTTGTGGACTTCAACTCCCAGAATTCCTCAGCCAGCTCTAGCTGGCTGAGGAATTCTGGGAGTTGAAGTCCACAAGTCTTAAAAGTTGCCAAGTTTGAAGACCCCTGCCCTACATCTTTGGGGATGGCAATGAACACACGACACGCTTTCATGGATGATTCCTTCACTAGAAGCAGATTCAAAATCTTTCAATCTGAAATTCTCTCCAACTTCTTCTATTCCAGGTATCGAATGAATACAGCCGTGGCTTGATCGTGAGTCATATTTAGAGTTTATTTTTTTTTTAATTTTACGTATCAAACTGTTAACACATAGCGTCATTTCACCTTCTCTACTGATGTAAGATGGAAGCATATTTTGGGAATTGGGGGCGGAGGTTATTTTGTTTTACATGTATTAAAAAACAAACCTGAATATTGCTATTCTCATTGGCCCGTCGTCTTCCCTCTACCCGGCTGATTGTAATGGTCTGTCCAATCACATCTATTACCCCAGGTAGTCGCCTGAAAAAGGAAGCGCAAAATCTTACTTCATAAAACGTTAAAATAAGTGCAATTGCTTTGAAAACTTTAAGCCCTGTGTAAGAGTCACAAAACAGGGATTTATTTTGGCTTATAAAAGCGCAGGAAATATAGTTTTTTTTTTCTTCTACATCAGCTATTCCAGTTTGGTGCCCTCCAGATGCGGATTTCAATCTTTAGCCAGCAAGGCTAGACAGGAATTTGGAGAACTGAAATTCAATACATCTGAGGGGCATCAGGCTATGGAAGTCTGCTGTAATGAATAGTATAAAATCCCCAAGAAAAAGTAATTTACAGATCTGCTTTAAGCAGGATTGTTGCTGGCAAACAATGGTATAGGATCTCCTGCTTGAGCAGGGGGTTGGACTAGAAGACCTCCAAGGTCCCTTCCAGCCCTATGATTTTATGTTTCTATGTTTCTGCTGTTAAAACAAGTTGTGACCCAAAGTGGGCACAGGTAAAATTCATCCTAGCAAGTCAGATACAATTTCCAAAACCTTGATTGCTGACTTCCATTCAAAAACTTAATAGTAGCAATCCTTTTTTATTTCTATACAGAGTTTAAAAAAAATTACAGGATGAATCCTGAGGGAGAAAATAATTTAAAAATGGATTGGTACTCGTGAAATTTGCTGAGTTAAGAATTAAAAAAATTACAGGATGAATCCTGGGGGAGAAAATAATTTAAAAATGGATTGGTAATCATGGAATTTGCTGAGTAAGAATTAAAAAATTACAGGATGAATCCCGGAGGAGAAAATAATTTAAAAATTGATTGGTACTCACAAATTTGCTACCCCTAAGTGAAATAGCAGTGTTCCATGTCTTCATTTTTATGATCGTCATGAAAAAAGAAACGAAGGAAAATCCTAACCAGCTTTGATGAAATTAACCCAGAAACACTATTCTATTTTCAATTTCAATACTTTCCAATTCCGTAATGAAGTATACATATAAAATACTCTCCTCACAATTCCCAGAATCTAGCTGGGCATTACTAGCGTGATTAATCTGTATTTATACTTCCAAATCAGTGTTGGTAAAACAGGCTATGTACCCAAGTCCAGTCCGATTCCATCTACTGAGGGAAAAATATGGCATTATAATATTTTTATTTTTTTTAAAAAAAAAAGATCACATGCTTTAAATTTTTCTTACCTTAGTTCAGGTGACTCAGCTCTCCCGTACCGAGCCTGCCACTTCACAGTGCCTGAACTGTTTTTTCTGACTGCAGGGCCCATCTGCGACTGAGAAGAGGCGCTGTTTCTGGTGAGATAAATGTTCTAGGTCTTTCTTTTCTTATGTTTCTACCTTTTCCTATTATGAGACACTATTTTTTACCCTGGCTCTCTCACATTAATTGCCCCCCAGCTGCACCTTTCTGCGATTCCATTAGGCAGGATCATTCTAATAGTGGTCCACAGATGCTTTAACAATATTCACTAACTCAGTGGATTTCTGCATCTCGTATTAACCTAAGTCTGGGGTCTTCAAACTTGGCCCTTTTATGACTTGTGGACGTCAACTCCCAGAATTCCTCAGCCAGGCACGTTTTTGCCTGGCTAAGGAATTCTGGGAGTTGAAGTCCACAAGTCATAAAAGGGCCAAGTCTGAAGATCCCTGGGATAGAGCTTTACTTTTAATCAGGTAGTTATCAGAGGAGCTGATCATAGTTTCACCTCCTTTTATTTATATTTATATATCACATTTAAAAACTGTCCGTCTCCCTCACAGAGTGACTCTGGATGGTGCACAAATAGACGTAAAACATAAAAACTATATATAAATATTATAATGAAAGCAATTTAAAAATAAAAAGCTGCAATAAGGATAGAGCGGGGGTCTTCAAACTTGGCCCTTTTATGACTTGTGGACTTCAACTTCCAGAATTTGTGCCTGGCTGAGGAATTCTGGGAGTTGAAGTCCACAAGTCATAAAAGGGCCAAGCTTGAAGACCCCTGACCTAAGTGAAAGCACAAATACACAAACTATTGACTTCTCCAGCAAGATGACCAAATAGAGCTGGCTTTATCCAGGTACCGTACAGATGCAGAGAAAGAAGCTTTGATTTGCTTTTGGTTTATTTTTCTGTTTTGTTTCAAGAAAAACAATTCAGATTCTCTGATTCACCATCAGCATCAACACAGATAGAACCATTCGTAATATATATTCATGGCGAAAGAATTGTAACGTTTATAGAATCCAGGAATTAAATATAACACTTTTAAATTGCTGGGCCTGAGCCTAAAATATAGAGGGTTGTTTTTTTTTACAATAATGCACTGCTTGATAAATATCAATTTTTCCCCATCTGAAATTTCTACAATCTTTTCATATGAGTAGAAATTGGCATTTCTCCCCCCTACCACACACATACACAACCAGAAAAAGGACAATATATAAAAAGATGGCCAGTGCTTTCAATATTTGTAATGTAATACAAATACTCTTGTTTCCCTTACTTCTAGGGCAGTGTTTCCCAAACCTGACCATTTTAAGGCATGTGGACTTCAACTCCCAGAATTCCATAGCCAGCGTTGCTGGCTGTGGAATTCTGGGAGTTGAAGTCCTCATGCCTTAAAATTGTCAAGTTTGGGAAACACTGTTCTAGGGACACACACAACCCCCCCCCCACCAAATCAATCAATCTTTATTTAGCCATAGACCAGCAAGCAGAATATAGAGATCAGTTAATATATTTTCTAAAATATCTAAGAGGGATTAGAGTTAATACTATGACGTACTGTGCAGGCTATTAAGCAGTACGTGGCTGTGGAAAGAGAAATGAAATCAGATTGATCTGCTAAGAACATTTTAAGCTAAAACGGACTAGAACAAGCAGGGTATTTCATCAAAAGTAAAAATAAAGGTAAATGCAATTTTTTTACCAAGTAAAACTAATGATCGAATTGATTAAACACCTGAAACCAAAGAAAGTTCCTGAAGAAAATGATTTTATCTCAGCAGAGGTGATCCAAAACAATCTAGATAGGTGGGTCCCTGTTCTGGTTTCACTTGCATCAATAATTGATCCCCCATGATTGGGGCCTAGCTCTGGTCATTCTCATCCACAAAAGAGGAGATCTACCTGCCAATTACATCAACCTCCCATCAACCTCCCTTGTGGTCAGCAAACTATACACCAGACATTTTATAACAAGCTCATGGACTAGATCAAAACTGACAATATTTTGCCTCAGGAGCAGGCAGGCTTCAGAGAAGGCCACTCAATCTTGGAGTCATGCTCTAACTCCCCCCACCCAGCATCTAGTTGAAAAATACTCATCACACAAAAAACTATGATCATTTATTTGAGAAAATCCAAATGAATTCAGTAGAGGCCAACGTATATCATACAAAACAGGGTTATTAGCTTTCAATAGGATTCAACAGGATTGTGAGCTTGTGGTCAAACTACCTTATCTATATCTATATAAATAAAAATATAAATGTTCGTTTGTTCAAAATCTTAAATCTCTGAAAGTTCTTCACCGACTGCTTTGAAATTTTGACACAACGTTGCATTCGAATACGCGCGTGTTTTTATATACCTATATTATATAGATGTCACACCTGTGACAGGTAAAAACATGCTTTTTGTGAAAAACAGCGCCATCTGTTGGACGTAAAAGCAACACACGCTACGATTTCAGACAATCTCTATATCTGCACAGACAATGGAACAACAAAAAATATTGTATACCCACAAGCATTGTGAAATTAAACATATTACAAACGTGCGCTTTCTCTTTTCTTTTTTTTCCATTTAACCAGACTGAGCCACAGCAACGCGTGGCCGGGAACAGCTAGTTATATAATAATTAATAAGAATGTCAGCAAAATCAGTTTAGCCTGAAATAAAGCATCATGAAAGAAATTAAGCCGGTTGTAAGAAAATAATGACTAAAAGGAAAACAATATAATTCTTTTCACGTTTTTCCCGATTGTATTACTTTGCCTTACCTAATATGTCATTCAACTACATGCTCAGTATGTACTGACTTTATATATTTGGCCAATGATAGGCAAGTCCTGTGACCTCTTCAAAACTAAATGTGCATTTTTTTTTTTAATTGATCACATACAAGAAGAGCCCTGACTACAGCCTATCCCAAACAGGTCTGATCCAACCACAAAAATTATAGATATTTGTGTTTAAGCTGCTAGGCAATGTTTGTTTATATATGCTTAACAATACAGAAGTAACGTTATGGAATTCAAAGTAGTGACCTCAGCCCAAAATAAATGCATACTATAAACCTTTGTAAAATATAATCAAAAATCAACTGGCTTCTAAACATACTTAAAATAGCACCAACGTGTTATTTAGATGCAAATAATCCCTGTTGACAATCACTGACTACCAACTTAGAGGTTCTACAAACTACTGATTGCCGCTGACAGTCTATATCTCAAATTATATCAAGATTTACAACCAAAGGATGAAAAACACAAGATGTGAGAAGGTAGTGATGTTTTGTTCAGTTTTAAAAAGGGATGATGGCAACCTGGAAACATTTCCTGTCTTCAGCTGTTCAGAAATGTTGACTAACCAACTGACCTGTTTGATGGGACTCCTGTCTTGAATAAGGGTGGGGGAGATGTAAACTCAGCTTTGACTGGTGGAAGTGCTACTTCTTTCTCCATATTTCCAGTTCTGCCCTGCTGCACCTTCGGAATAAAGTTTCTTCATTAGCGTTACCTATTGCAAAATAAAGGATCTCTTCCAATAAATTACAATAGCAACAACATTCTGTAATTCCTAAATAAAAATGCTCACACTAGCAAACTGGTTATTGTGGCTTCCATTCAAAATCCCTCCCTACTTCATTTGTCCAAGGAAATGCCATTTCTCAAAAATTCCAACAGCCACCCTGAAAAAATAAATTGTTTTCAGAACAGGGGAGGGTAATTTAAAATTTAATCTGTAGTATTATAAAGCAGGGGGGAAAAAATCAAAGTAACAGTCTAAATCCACCAATGATTTGTGTTTTTAATGCTTCAGTCCCTGCAAAGTGTTTAACAAAAGTGTATTTCTTCAGTATGGAATAGGAATAAAAACTGAGAATTATAGAGTACTTCTAACCAACCAATCTTCTACCAGTCAAACTCAGCTCCACTATAGGAAAACAGCTCCATATGGCATATTTACGGAAAAGTAGCTAAGCATCTGGTGCTCTATTTCGATCACTCCTTAAGTTACTTTTCTCAAGCATCAAAAAGTCAAACATGCAAAAAAAAATTTTTTTTATTAAGCAAAGCCTGGACTAATATACCTGGACTAATATTTTCCTGAAGACTGATAAGGTTCACAATAACTTCCACTTGCTATTAAGCAAAGCAAATTGAACTGTATGCATAATAGACAAATAAAACCTAAACGATTGGCAGTTATTAGTGGGGGAACATAAATGTATTGCTCCTCAGATAAGGGGGAAGCAAAAATACTGTAGGGTTATAAGCACAGTTTCTGTTTTTAAAAAAGATTTTTTTGAATAAGGTAGGTAAAATATCCTGCACTAATACTAGTTGGGAGAAGAGTTTCATAGCTCTTACTGTATATTTAAAAAAAAAACACTGTAAACTATAGTAATGTTCTTTTCTAGCCCTTTAAGAGCACTGGAGTTTATCATCTTAGGCCTATTTTGGGAAAGCATAAAGTGATTAACAGGTTATGATGGAGCATTAGAATACGTAGAGTTACTTCTACATAACAACAATTGATAGTTTTCACATTTTTCATCAGATTGCGTTAGTGAAAAGCATGGATGGACATTGTAGCATTATGGAATATTACAGAAAAGCACACCTCTGCTCAGACACCTGTGATGTTGATAAATCTGGAGTTGAATGTAGAATGTAGAAAATGTGGTTCAAATCCTCAATTATGAGGTAGCCTTGATCAAAGTCTCTTAGATAATATGTACAAATAAAATAGTACATAGACATGATTTTAAAAAAAAAGTAACAAAAGAAAGCCAATTTAAATCTTCATATTAGCCCTGTTTATATTTACCTTATACCAATTCTTCAGTATCAAATGTTGAACAAATACTGCACACACTGATTGAAAACATGGCGCCCTATCCAAAATTTCTATACATATTCCCCTGTGAACATAAAATATGTAACCTGAGCAACAAGGTTACAGATGTTAAACTGTCAGTATTTACATCTGTTTTCCTTTTTAACTAATAAAAGGCTAAAATACTCCAGCTTATTACAGGCAGGAGAATAAAAAAGAATAATTGGGAGCCAACCAGCCAAAACATTCTCCACGAGATCCCTTTTCTATTGTGTTTTAAAATAGCATTTTATTAAAACAATGAAACAAAACAACTGAAGTTTTTCTTCATGGGAAAAATAAGCACATAGCATGCTTGCTGTGTTTTATTAAACTGTTATGTGTTAGTGTAAAAAATAAAGATTAGCCTTATGGCAAAATTAAGACAATTTTCTCAAAAATATATTGGTTTCTAAGTACCTATCCCAGGGGTAGGCAACCGTGGCTCTTTTATGACTCGTGGACTTCAACTCCCAGAATTCCTGAGCCACTTCAATTCTGGGAGTTGAAGTCCACGAGTCATAAAAGAGCCAAGGTTGCCTACCCCTGACCTATCCATTTCTTCCTATCATGTAAGTGGCACATATTTACTTGATGTGCATTTTCCCCCCCTCAGGCATTCTCAAATGCCTAGTCAATGATAACCATGTATCTAGTTCAGTGGTTCTCAACCTTTTTAATGCCGCGACCCCCAACCGGTCATAAGTCGAGGACTACTCAACCGGTCGTAAGTCGAGGACTACTCAACTGGTGCAGCACCGTTTGCAGAATGGGACTTTTGGCGGGCTCAGCAGGGCAGAGACAGCCTGGACAATGCCTATTGGCTTTTGAAAGCCAATAGAATTAGACTCTATTCAAGAGAGTCTATTCTATTGGCTTTCAAAAGCCAATAGAATAAAAGGGAGTAGCACAGCTAAGGAAAAGGGGGGAAAAAATGGCGGACTGCGTTGTTTGGCGACCCCCGTGAAATGGTCGTTCGACCCCAAATGGGGTCCCGACCCACAGGTTGAGAACCACTGGTCTAGTTGATAACTTCTTACACTGGCATGAGAGTTCAAGCTCTACCACAACAAAGTCTTGTCTAGAATTGTCTTTAGCCTTAGAAGCACTCAAGAAAAATCTAGAATTTGCTGCCTCACGATGCCACTGAGCCTAACAACTAAAGTCCTCTAGGGCGTATTAGAGGTTGGCGATTACTATCTATGGCTATTCATCAAGTTTGTGATCCTGATTTACGACAATCTAATGATGTTTTACATACGAAGGGAAGGATGTGCAAAAGTATTTGTACATGAACGGTTCATGGAGCAGTTGTTTTTGGTGGCTTGTGTCTAAAAATATGGGTGGTTGATTCAGCTAGGGAGCTGTTTTGTCTGAATATGGGCTGAAATGATTTGTTACTGGAAGTAGTATTTTTCAGGCAAGGAGAGTAAGGTTATTAGCAACAGTCCGGGGGGGGGGGGAGATGACACTGCAAAAGGATGAGGTGCACAATGGGATATGCAGCAATGCTACACGAAGGCAGGAGAATAAGTGTGGCACACATTAGCCTGTATCCTGTGCGTTTTGCTTTAGCACAGTGGTTCTCAACCTGTGGGTCGGGACCCCATTTGGGGTCGAACAACCATTTCACGGGGGTCGCCAAACAAGGCTGTCCGCCATTTTTCCCTCCTTTTCTTTGGCCACGCCCCGGCACCCGGTGATGTATAAGTGGTTGGGGGTCACCACAACATGGGGAACTGTATTATGGGGTCGCGGCATTAGAAAGGTTGAGAACCACTGCTTTAGCAGAAATTAAAAAAACAAAACAAAAAAAAAAACATTCCAGGGTTCATTTCCATCACACTACGCCTCCCCCAGTGGCAAAACTTTCAGAAAATTATGGTTGCCTTTGTTTTGTTTCAGATTCGAAATTACACACATATTCTGTTTGGGGCACATTCTTACATGGAGAATAAACTTCTTCGGTCAGCAAAATTCTGCCTGAACTTCATTTTTGAGTTGGGCCACCAAGAGAGAGAAAGCAAGGATCAAATACCAGACCAAAAAATGATACATGAAATCTGTAACGGAGTGACGTATCCCACTAAAATAATGCAGCATACACATTACGTAACTGTCACAGCAATCATTAGTACATTATGCCATCAAATCATAGGGTTGCAACAAGAAAGATAAAATACGTGATTCTACATGCAGCACATCTGGAGAACGTATTTAAAAAAAAAACTGGAAAGAACCAGCTACGCCCACTTTTGTGTTTAGACTCAAAACCTGGAAGTGGTATGGCAAACAGTTAATTAGAGTGACTAAGGAAAGTTTACCAACATTCACCTTAAAAAGACTGTATGTGCCATCTGGAATCTCTGCCCGTGGCGTTACTTCCATAGCAATGTCTTCGGCCTAAGTTAAATAACACATCGCCCATTAAAACACCACATTATGGACTGATGGGCTACATCACAACTAACAACAGGTTGCAAGCTAGTTGCAGTTGGTGATTCCACATTACCAACACAGAGGCCAACAAGGAAATGGAGCAAAATGGCTGGATGATAGGAACAAGGAAGGAAGGGAATGAACTGCTGAACCACACAAGGGTTGCTAACACTGTGTGTGGAGTCTAACTTTGGAAGGAAAATGGTTCTACAATGGTAAAACAAAGAGATTCTTTCCATTACCGTGATTTTATTTGTCGCTGCGGTAACGGGTAAAATTTCAAGTCCCATTCGTATCCTCTTTTGTTTTTCACAGTAAGCTTTCCAGGTCTCTTCATTAAACCCATAATTGAAATAATCTGAGAGATCAGCGCCTTAAAAGAAAACCACAAACATTCTAGGAGTTAAATGCAACTACTATAAAAATGTGTAGGAATCCGGCCTTCCACAATGCTTTCTAGCTACTGGTTTTCCAAAATGAGAAGCAGCTGAATAACCATTTTGAAAAAAGACCCTCTTTTTACAGCACTCTCTTTTGTTTACTTCCCACAACCATTTAGCTATGTTTTATTACTTAGCGGTGCTTCAAAGGGGAGGCACTTTTTCCTATGTTAGATAAGCCGAAGTAGCTAAAAAAAAATCAAAACATTCCGAGTAAAAAAACTTAAAAAGGTAAAAATGCAAAACACGCAGCAACATGTTCTCATGCATCAAATCCAACTGAGTTAATACTTATATTTTCCTCACCTCTTGGAAGTAGCTTTATTACAAGTATTGGGTGTACAACATGCTGTGATTAAATTCTTCCTGAAACAGGAAATATGAACGCATTTCGTGCATTTAGATAAAACAAGGCAATCGAATTTCTGCTCACCTCTGGAGTTTCGACGACCTGTTTTTTTACAATGTTATTTATTTCTGTGGAAAAATGCTTACCTGGTTTCCTCCAAGGTTTATCTTCAAAAGAATCCAAATCCACTTCTAATAGCGGAACACCATTAATGCTTCCTGGTGCATCAAGATCAACTCCCTTCACTTTTGAGCCTATAAAAAAAGAATACCTATTTTATACGATACGTGTACATATTAAAAAGTTCCTATAGTGGAATTAAGGTGCTTATTTCCTACACAATGGCAGTCATGAGCCTGATAGTTACTGTTCTTATAAACGTTCTCTTACACGGTGACAATGATCTTAAGAGACACTGCAGCCCAGAGCAAATAGCAATATTTTTCCCATTTTCTTTCTTTGAGCTCACGGCAAATGCTTACCAGACGATCCATAAGTCCGCCCTCCTGTTTTAATATTGAGATTCACTGGTGCTGCTCCATACCTAAAAAATAACATTTTTATAGTAAAGGGTAAAAGATGAACAAGATGGTTGAAGAAATGATTTAAAAAAGTGTTCGGATGTGCAGTGGTGTGCACTCACACCAGCGTTAAAGAAAGCGACAATTTCTGGATCAGCACAGAGACTTGGAAGTTTTCCCTCAGTTTTCCATACACACACGTACAAGTAGTCCTTGGGTGACAGTGACAATTGGGACTCTAATTTCCACCACTTACTGACATAATTGTAAAGCACACTGTCACACGGCCACACTGCTTACCAGTTCCAGCACTCCCAATTAAGTGAGGAATGTGCAATTGCTTCACTTTGCCGAATGTCTTTTGGAAACACAGTCGCAACTTCCATCTTGGTTTTTTTACTGTATTTTTTTTTCCTTTTTACTTGTGCCTGATCCGAACAGAAAATAACGTACGTAGCTCAGATTGAACAGTGGAGTTGTTGGTGCTCTCTTGAGGTTGGCTGTTTACTTGCACACAGTTCATTACTCGACTAGGCAACATCATTAGTGCTAGTGAACGTGGCATTTGCTCTCAGTTTATATACAGTCACTTGTATTTAAGCTAGTTTTATATGACTGAAACTGACAGGTAAGCTGCTGTACATGCTGTACAAAGGGAGCAAACCCCACACTTAACTCGCATTGATTCTGTAGAGCAGTGTTTCCCAAACTTGACAATTTTAAGGCATGTGGACTTCAACTTGAGTTGAAGTCCTCATGCCTTAAAATTGTCAAGTTTGGGAAACACTGCTGTAGAGTGTCTCTCTACTTCATTTACATTTAAAGAAACATTATTTATTATCAACTGTGACAAGTATTGCTGAAGTTTCAAAACAGCGTAAAATGATTTGGGACATAAGACGAAGTAATCAATTTAGCCTTTTTAGAGCATAAAGCTATCTTCAAATCTATTACAGCAAAGTAAAAAAAATGAATTTTGTAGATAGCACTGGACTTCTCTAAAAGTGACACTAATTGAAACAGCACTTAGCCATAGCGCCTAGATTTATATACCACTCCGTAGTGCTTTACAACCCTCTCTTAAGCATCTTGGCCCTCTCCCCCCAACAATCTGGGGTCCTCATTTTACCAACCTCGGAAGGATGGAAGGCTGAGTCGACCTTGAGCCGGTCAGGATCGAACTCCTGGCTGTGGGCAGAGTTAGCCTGCAATGCTGCGCCACCACGGCTCCTAATAAATAACTCTACGTTCCACAGAAAAGTACCTTTCGGGCGTCTTTAACGGCAAAGCCCATTTTGAACTTTTGTGAGGACTTAGAAGACTTTGGTAATGAATGCAACTGTCAGGAATAAAGCAAGAAAGAATACAGAAGGAAGGCCCGCAGGAAGGCAGATGGTGGCTGCTGGGAGCAAGCAAGTGGAGAGAGCGGGTTGGAGAGGGAGGGCAAGGATGACGAGAAGGGATGTGTGGGTCAGGAAAGACACAAGAGGCACAGTGCGGGTCAGATGAGATCAGGGCAGCCTCTTTTCCTCAGCCTTCACAAGACAGCAGGAGGCGTTCTGCAGGGGCACAGGAGTGATTGACAGGAGTAAAGAAGGGCCTGGGGAGGGTGAGTGGGTGGGGAGGCTTGCCCAGCAACGTGCAACCTTCCCCGTCAGGCTCCCCACTGACTTTCCTGGGGAAGCATGTGGGGAAAAATGCATGCGCAGCAAACTGCCATGCTTCCCCCCCACAAACCTCATAACCTTTGGATGCCCTTTGGCCCAATGAAACAGCCAGAAGGTCATCCCCTTTTGACTTAACGCCTCACCTACCTAAATAGATAATATGCTTAAGTTACTTCCTATCTCTTCCTGCCTTTGTCAGTTCTTTCTCCTTTTGATCTACCTGTATTTGTTCTTTACCTTGTCTCTGATCAGGTAATATGTTACTAGAAAATAGTTGCTTATATGAAGGAATTTTCCAATGAAGAAACTTTATGTCAGCATCTAATGCTTAAACTTATGAATGTGAAATGTCAGCATTTAATGGTAAAGCCTATGTATGTAAAAAGTATATAAAAACCAATAAACACAGATATTCTCAAGCTGTCTGAAGCCGTGACAAGCAGCTCTGCAGCAGCTTCAAATCTCTGCTCAAGGCCTGCCTGAGTCTTTTTCTTAGCGTCTTTACAGAAGCTGGCAGGAAAGGTAGCAAAGGGCCACCGTGCAGTCTTCGTGGGTCCTTGGCGACCCGCCGTACGTGAGAACAGGTGGCCAAGAACCCAGACTGCAATCATGTCACCAGAAGAGTTGTTGGGAAACTCCAAGGACCATTCATTCAGTAACCTGAAATGGCCACTGACCGAATGGTCAAGTCTGAGGAACTACCCTGTATATCTCTTAGAGATGTGCTGATCAATTCACTGAGAAATATATGAATGGGAAAAAGGAATGCTTATTGCACATTTGATATAGAAAAAGCACGTGATATAATGTCAGGTGCAAACAATCCGATGCGTAGGTGGAGAGTTCAAACCAATCTCCCCAGACTTCTTGCTTTCCTTTGGGGATAGACAGACAGACAGACAGATAGATACATATGCTACGATAGATAGATAGATAGATAGATAGATAGATAGATAGATAGATAGATAGATAGATAGATAGATAGATAGATAGATAGATATGCTAGGATGGATGGATGGATGGATGGACAGATGTCTTTTTTTGTCATAGGATGCCCAGAACGGAGTTCCGGTACCTTTTTTGGAGCTTAAAATGGGAGGGGGAGGCAGTCCTAGATGTCTTGCAGTTATGCAAAAATTCGAGGCTAACTCCCTGCCTGGCTAGGCATTTCCCAGCGAATGAATAGGGCTGAATTGTGAAGTATTTTATACAAATATAAGATCACTTTTCTGCATGTGGTAAGGGCGTGTGCTTGATATAAACCAGGAGTGATATGCTGCAAACACTGAGCAGGGAGTATGAGAAGGAGGTGTGGTAAATGTGTAAGGCGTGTTTGTGATGACATTAAGTGGCATGTTGATTAGGGAGGTGAATGTGCTTTTCTATGTAGATGAGGCTGCAATTGGCTGAAAATCCTAAATGACTTACAATGAACAAATCGTATAAAGCAGGGGTAGGTCACCTTGGCTCTTTTATGATTCGTGGACTTCAACTCCCAGAATTCCTGAGCCAGCATGGCTCAGCTTGGAAACCTCTCCCTTTCCCCTCAGCATGGCTGGCTCGGGAATTCTGGGAGTTGAAGTCCACGAGTCATAAAAGAGCCAGGGTTGCCCACCCCTGGTGTAAAGCAATTACTCATATGGTTTTTGAAATCTGCCGTTATCAAACAACAAGATAGCAACGTTTGATAGACAAGAGAGTGAACACCTGCAAATTATACAGACAAGGTGAAGTATTATTACAGTACCATAGTAAACAAAGCTGTGCACTTTGGTAGCACGTTGACTAAAGATGAGGAAATGAACCGGAGATATTTTAAGGTGTAGAAATACTAGCGTATAGGACAATATTTATTTGCTTATTGGTTCAAGCTCTAAAATAGAGCTTACTCCAAAATAAAATACTGTAGAATACTGCAGATTTTGGATTTTTGCTCTTTTTGCTTTTAAGATATAGGGTCCTTTAGCTCAGTGGTTCTCAACCTGTGGGTCGGGACCCCATTTGGGGTCAAACGACCATTTCACGGGCGTCGCCAAACAACGCAGTCCGCCATTTTTTCCCCCTTTTCCTTAGCTGTGCTACTCCCTTTTATTCTATTGGCTTTTGAAAGCCAATAGAATAGACTCTCTTGAACAGAATCTAATTCTATTGGCTTTCAAAAGCCAATAGGAATTGTCCAGGCTGTCTCTGCCCTGCTGAGCCTGCCAAAAGTCCCATTCTGCAAACGGTGCTGCACCAGTTGAGTAGTCCTCAACTTACGATCGGTTGAGCAGTCCTCGACTTACGACCGGTTGGGGGGGTCACGGCATTAAAAAGGTTGAGAACCACTGCTTTAGCTGGAAGCAATTGTTACTGGCTTCAAGGTAACAAAGGAAGGGATTTTTTTCATAAGTCTGCCTTAGCTCAGAACCTGAAATCCAAATGATTTAGGGTTTTAACAACTTACCCATACTGCGGTGCTCCTGTTTTAATATCACCAATAGTGACCTGAACATCATCTTCATCATCATCACTATCGCTGTCACTGTCATCTTCGGCCTCTGCCACTTTCTAAAAAAAAAAAAAAAGGCTATAATTAGAAATTACATACAGTTCAACTAACTTTCTTGATACTATTTGAAAAGGCAGTAAGCTAAAAGGCTACTGAAAGAATCTTTTGTGGATGGACAAGACCAACCAAGAATTTGGGGGATCTAATGAAAAGGGTTACCTTTTGGAAAAAGGCAAACTCTTGTGTTCCACCATAAGAACCTTACCCCGTCTCTGAAACATGGGGGTGGCAGTATCATGGTTTGGGTTTGCTTTGGTGCCTCTGGACCAGGATGGCTTGCCACCACTGATGGAGCTAGGAATTCTGAATTGCACCAGCAAATTCTACAAGAAAGGGTCAGGATACCTGACGGTGAACTAAAGCTCAACACCAAGTGAGTCATGCAGTAAGACAATGACCCAAAATACATTAGTTGTACAGCCAAATAATGGCTAAAGCAGAAGAAAGTTAATGTGTTGCAATGGCAAAGTCAAAACCCTGACCATAATCCTATAGAAATGTTGTGGAAAGACCCAAAGTGTGCAGTTCATGCAAGAAAGCTCACCAACATCTCTTGAACTGAAATGGTTTTATATGGAGAAATGGGATTAAAATTCCTCTCAGCTGATGTGTAGGACTGATCAACAGTTTTCAAAAACATTTGTTATTGGTGTCCAAGTATTGTAAGTAAAGGTTCACATATTTTTGCCATACACAAATCTACAGCTTTGGATCACTTTCCTCAATAGAGAAATGAAATATGTCCTGTGACTCATTGTTTTTAATCAAGTTTTAGGACTTCTGTGGAGAACAGATGCATTTTAGGTCATATTTCATGCAATAATATTGAACATTCGAAGGTGTTCTCAAACCTTTAAGCACAATGGTACCTGGAACACTACGAACAGGACACACACACCAAGTGAAAAGAAATCTGCCAGCAATCTCAAACCAATAATAGTTATTGGGGAAAGTCCTGCACTCTTTTCTAGCACATCATTTAATCACTCAGCATGAGATGTGCAAAGTTATCCTCATACTCTCAAGGCTAAGGACAATTTCAGTACTGTTAACATTTGCATTCCGGACTGAATTTATCACATAGTGAATGAAGTCTAATAAAATAAGTTAATCATAAATTATAGGGATATTCAAAGTGCTCCATTTTGGGGACAAAATGTTTCAGGGAATCCTAAAGAAATAAATAAGTTTCTCTTCTGTACTAGGCCAATCTAGGATTGTCATGGAAGCTTTTTAAACTTTGGAAGTGATGCAATCAAATTGCAGGGACGGAAGATGTTCCCCCAAACATTCTGTTTCCAAAATAGACCCACCGCTAACAAATTATAGACCCACAGTCTATATCCAATTGGTCCTCGTGAATGGCTTGCTCAAAATTTTAAAAAAATGTTATATAAATGTCTGTAGTTCTTGTTTTATAAGGAATACCATTTTTACTACGCCATTTTCAGCTGCTGTGTCTTCTTCATTTCTTGTTGGGGTTGGAACACTTAAAGATAAAATAAAAGACATTAGCTGGTTTACAGGCACTGGCACTGTTTTAAAAAATAAGTGTAGTTTAAATTATTGGATAGCAAATGCTAATGTTTTTCTGAATTATGCTTTTGCTAGGAAAAGAAACAACTTTCTTTTTCTGCAAAACTTTTCTTTCTGGGAAATATACATTCAGCAATTAAGCAGAGTAATACTTTGTTTCATTTAATTTAATGTGATTTCAGTGACGTTATACATTATTATCTCTTTCATTGTCCCCATTATTAAAGAATCAAAGTAACCACGTTAAAAAATTTGTAGAGCATAGACTGTGTGAAGAAGTATTCAATAGTGATATTTTGTACCCTATATATAATTAATCTAAGTTTAGAAATGACATATATTTTAGTTTTAACATATCTAGACAATTACGGCATTGACACTCAAGACAAAGGGTCTCTACTCATAAGAGGACTCTACTCATAGGAGATTCTACTCACAAGGCCAGTGTAGAATAGGATTTTAATAACACTGATTTATCATATTAATCACAAAAGTAAATCAGAAAAATGCTCATTAAAATTCTTTTTTTCAGTCCATAAGGCTCCAATTCAACTAGGATTTGAAATAAATTTAGCATAGATGACATTACTTAATATGGTAATTAAATATTTTCAGGTCATAAAATAGCTTTAACCAGGGCTTTTTTTCTCATAGAACGCCCAGAATGGAGTTCCGGCACCTTTTTTGGATGAAACCTTATAGGATAGGTAAGGCGGGTTGTAGGACATGTGTGAGTTTCAGCACTTTTTTTTTTTTTTTAACAAAAAAAGCACTGGCTTTAACAAGACATACCATCCCTGAGCTACACATATGCTTGTCTACTATAACTACATGTGACCATTAAATTATTTAAACTACTTTAAATCCTTATGGAGACCCTTTCATTTGCAAAGGCCCCCAAAGATTTTGCTTTTGTGACTCCAAAACTT